GGGAGCTCTCCTACATTTAGCCCAAAAGTTAAATATTGGATTCCTATATCCCTTCTCTTAGCTCCAAAAGCTAAGGAGAATCCCTCAACATATAGCCCAAAAGCTTCATGTTGGATACATTTCGTAGACCCAAAATCTAAGTGATCATTTTCATTCAACTCAAATTGAATGATCTTTCCTATGACATTTAAAATGCTAAACATATAGATGTCCCTTAGGAGTTGTCCTTTTTGTTGAAGTTCATCCTACCCTATTGGATGAATTTCACCAAGTCCTAAGTGAAACCCCTTAGGCATGTCTATCTTACCCTATTAGATAGATGCTTCTCTTATCCAAACACTAAGAGAACTCTAAAATACTTAAAAATCACTTAGGTTCCTTTTGATACAATGACCAATCTTCTCCCTCAAAAAGTGGGATGTCTACATCATTGTATCTTAGGATTCATAAGTAACAGGCTTGCCCAAAAGCAAGCAGTGGTTACTTAATGGGTTCTTCATAACCCTCCTAAGTATGAAACATTTAAAATCAAATAAAATATTTAAGTCACAAACAACTTAAAGTGAAATCCCCCTTGGATAAAGATTAAACATATTAATTCCAAAATAAAACCAAACACCCTTAGTGTGACATGCTACACAAGCCTCACACACTTAGGTGCACAGCCCCTTAGGCATGCTAGAATTAGGATTTTTTTTTCTGCGCATGTGTTTGATGTTGTGGAGTGATTGCCTATTGGATCTTAGGATTCATAAATAACAGGCTTGCCCAAAATAAAGCAGTGGTTACTTAATGGGTTCTTCATAACCCTCCTAAGTATGAAACATTTAAAATCAAATAAAATATTTAAGTCACAAACAACTTAAAGTGAAATCACCCTTAGATAAAGATTAAACATATTCATTCCAAAATAAAACCAAACACCATTAGTATGACATGCTACACAAGCCTCACACACTTAGGTGCACAGCCCCTTAGGCATGCGAGGATTAGGATTTTTTTCTGCGCATGTGTTTGATGTTGTGGAGTGATTGCCTATTGGATTGTCTGTGTTGTGGGCACTTGCCCTTAAGTGGATATATTGTTCTTCTAACAGGTGACCATATCTAAAAGGGGGGCGCTCATAAATAATAAATTGCTTGCATGACAGGTGTTGCTTAAAACCCCCAAAAAGATGTGGCCAATAGGATAGAGGCGGGTGTTTAACACCCTAAGTGCTAAACAAAATTTTGGATATCATGTTTTATTATATAAACTGCTTCTAATCCATTGCAGGTTTGAGTCTCTTTTCTTTTTAAACATGTATTTGATAGAATTGGAATTGTATTGGACTTGTGGGGGGTCTGGATCAAAAGGAGGTGAACCAAATGGATGTATCTTTGGAAGGTGAGGCCTGAGGTTTACTTGGAAGATAAAGCTTCAAGACCCCACAAGTAGAGTCGGTAATAATTTGACTGGGTTGTATAATGACAGAAAACTCGGCTGTCAAATCTGGTTGTATTAACTTGGACTCTATTTACATTCCTTGCATTTTATTTATAAATAAAAGCATGTTTGATTATTTACCTGATTGTGCAATAGAAATGCATCTTTTTCCTAGGTTTATTTCCTTGCTTTTGCTTGGGTGTGGCTTGGACTATTTGATGCGGTAGGCTCTTTGGACAAAAACAAATTTTCTATCCATTAAAATATAATCAATCTAAAAACTGATTTAGGCTTCATGATTTTCTAACAAATAAGAAAGTCTTGCATAACTCCCTTTAAGGAGCTAAGTTTTCTAAAAATTAAAACAATCATGCATAACCCAAATGTGTTGCATGTAGAAAGCCCTAACTTAAGGATTAGATAACGAAAAAGTCTTTTTCTTTATGAGTCAGCATATGCATACCTTCATGCATAGACATCTTGGCCTCAAAGCCAAGCTATAAGCCCTACCTTTCTAAACAAAAACAATCTTCCCACTCTACATTTGCATTAAGACCGGACGACATGGTTTTAAAAGTGATTAGGAGGGTCTAGCTAGTAGTCCCTTCCAGGCGGGACAGTAAATCCAGAGGTCGGGCAAATTATGCCTCATGTGAGGTGTAATTTGTAAGTCCCTTTTGCACTTGTTAGATTTAGGTTCGAGGCACTATCTATCGGTAGTCCTCACCTTAGTTTTAGGGTCCGATACGTTGGTTGATTCCAAATCACCCTATAAGCCCTCACCTTTCGGGCAATTCCTTCAACATATGTTGTTGGAATGTAAGCTCCAACTTTCTAATAAAATATCAACTTAAACCAAAATTAGATTCTAAAATATAAAGCCCAACATAGGATAGTTTGAGCATCTCTGAGTTTCCCTCAGAATCAAGTGCTCCTACTTCATCTCTCTTGGCTCTCATTCCAAATCTAATTCTAAGTTGATCTCTTAACCTCCTTGAAATTCCTAAAGGCCAAAACTCTTTAACTAAGACTTTCTTGGATTTAAAAAACAAATTTTAACCAACACTTAAATGACTCTCAAAATAAGAAAATCACTAGTTAATCAAAAGTTTTCCCAAGCAAAAGCTTGGGATGTAATTAACCATAGGGGCTTTCCCCTATGGGACGTCTGTACCCCAAAAATAAATAAACCCCGCTCGACCAAACATCGAGTGGGGGAATCTCTGTTAAAATTGTAAATTTTATTATTGAGTCCATAAGGAAATGATATTTTTATCCTTCGGGGTAATATATCATGTTCTTATGCCGTACTCGATGATAAAATATGCAATCCGTTTGAGGATACAAAAATTCTCCAACAATTACATATTTTCTAATTCTATATTTTGCAGGAAAGATTCATTTCTTATATATAAATATAATTCATTCATAATTTTAATAAGTCATATATGTTGGTTTGATACAATAAAGGAAAAATAAACTAGAAGGATGAACTCCAAAATGAAGTCCAAACTGGGTTATACAAGGTAGGCAACTCAACTTCCTTTTCTTTGTAGAAGGCCTTAATCATTTTATAGTTGATTTTTATGATTGTTTGCTTGCTTATTTTTTCTCACATATTAAAAATGCATACTTTTTTCTTGGTTTTTTCTGTTGTTCTGCTTGGAGGTAAATTGGGCTTTTTTATGCTGTAGGCCTTGGGAAATTAAATCTTCTATGTATCGAAATGTAAGTATTCTTAAATTCAAACATTGGATAATATTTTTCAAACAAACTTGTGTAGCTTACCCAAAAACAACCTAACTTTTTTAAAATTAAATTAAATTATAAAGCCTTCTTATGGATCCTAGTATGCAATTTGAGCGTGCTTATCAAATCAGTATAAAACCCATGTGTTTAGCTGATGACCATCCATCATATGTATAGCTTTGTGAATTGCATATAAAAATAAAAGCCCTCACCTTAAATACTAGATAATATAAAATTATATTATGAGTCAGCATAAGTATGCCCTCATGGTCAGGGCATCTTAGCTTTAGTGGCTTAGCTATAAGTTATACTTCCTAAAATCAAATAACTTAACATTTTTACATATACATTGAAACCGGGTTTGTATAATTTTAAAAGTGTTTCGATGAGTTTAGCTGGCTGTCCTTTCCAAGCAAGATTATAAGACCAGAGGTCGAGCTAACTTAACCTTAGGTGGAGTTCCAAATTCCTAAGTCCCATGCTTTTTCGATATATTTAGGTTTGAGTTACTATCTATCAATAGTTCTTGCCTTAGATCTAAGGTTCGAGGCTGATGTTTTTATTAAGTACATCGCAAGCCCTCACATTATTTGACATTTTCTTAGTCTTACAATGTTGGAATATAAGCCAAACCTTCTAATTCAAATTACTCAATTTTAACACAAATCAATTTTAAAAATTAAAGCTAGATATAGGATAATATTAAGTATCTTCGTGTTTCTCGGAATCAAGTGCTCCTACTTTTACTTAAGTTCTATTTAAAATCATAATTTGTTGATCCAATCATCTTTGCAATTTCAAAGAACAAATCTTTAAAATGAAATTCTTAGAATGTTAGTCAATAATAACTATTTTTATCATTGTTTTCTCAAGAGCCAAACATCTTTGGGATATAATTATCCTTATGGGGAACATGCAACCCACAAGAAATAAACTCTATTCAATCATACATATTATATAAAAAAAAAATCTCTGGGCAGATAAAAATATAATACAGTTTTTATTATTCAATCCATAGCAAAATAATATTTTGTTCTTCAGCATAATATATTATTTTTTATGTTTTATTTGATCATAAAACATTTCAAATCCATTGAGGATAGAAAATTTCCCCATCATAAAGCATGTAATATTCAAAGTGTAGTAATATGATATTATCGAGTGCATAGCAAAATAATCTTTTTGTCCTTCAGAATATTGTATTATTTTTTATGTTGTTTTTTATCACAACCCTTTGATGATAGAAAAATTCTCCGTTACAAGGCATGTGCATTATTCAAAGTGTAATATGATGTTTCAATAATGATTATCTTAAGTTATGTTTATCATTTATGTGTGAATTGCATGGAATGTTTCTTGTGTATTCAGAATTTGGCTTAATGGTGCACATGATTACATGTTCGTACATACAATTATCCAATCATACATACATATGTGATGTCTGAAAACGATTGTACATACATTAAGAAGATGTTGATGTGCACGATTGCATTTTTCAATGGCTTGTGATTGTCTTTTCATGTTGCGACTATAACATGTTGTAGTAGACCAAATCGGGATTGATTATCCTTAATTTGGTGATTTGTCATTAATCCTTATGATGATGATTAAGAGAAATGTTGGACTTGAACTCTTGGGGGTGAGGTGGCATGAAAGCCTTTAGTGACTTGGTGAGATGTCATTATATGTAATTCTTATTTCTTTTTTTTTTCCTTTTTTTTTTTGCAAAGAGCAGACAATCTTGATCATCTTAAGCATGCATGTTTTCTTTCTGTCTTTCTATTGATGTTATCTAATTTTTTACTAGTTTCTCTGTCATCCTTTAGGTATCATTTGGATCAGAATTAAGTAACCGGGCACCGACCTTTGACATGGACTTATCAGATTTTGTGGACGGTGAGCAACTGTTGTCATATGAGAAGGCGCAGAAGTACTTTGCAAAGGATCCATCCCAAAAGTAGGTCATACTTACTTTTGAAAGGCATTTTTTCTCTGTCCTTTACCAATAGATGACATGTATTTTCCTTGTTATTTATCAATAGATGGCATTTTTTTCCCCAGATGGGCTGCTTATATAGCTGGGACGATTCTTGTACTAATGGTTGAACTCGGTGTGCTGTTTACAGATAGTATCAGCATACTGGTAAAATCTTTTTTTTTTTTCATTTTTTCACTCACAATACTTTAAATTAGTTGAGCTTCTGTTATCAATGTTCTTGCTATGAACATCAATGAAGAATTCCATTGCTCGGCAGTCTGAGATTCTTGAAACAACTGTGGTAACTATCACACAATGCCGTGGAATTTAAAATTCTATTTAGCTGGCCAAATTTTGGAAAAATAAATGCAAATGGCCCATAATTGAAATTTTTTTTTCTGAAGTCCCGTGTTTTATGACCCCCTAATATGTGCTCTATTTAAAAAGAAAAAAAAAAAGATAAACGTTCCTTAACTTTCTGAAAAATATATGCATAAATAAAATCTAGAAGTTCGCAGTCTTAGGTAGTTGTTAAGAAAATGTCATTAACTTTATTAACGATTCGTGCCTGAAATAGTTTGAAAGATGGCAGCCTCAGGTTTGCATACAGTTTAATAAGCAATGACTACTTGTCGTTAAGTCTGTTAACAGCAGTGACTAAGTTTCAGAAATTTAACTTGTTAGGGAACACATCAACGCCAGATGAACTTTCAATATGATATTCAGATGCCTGTTTTGTGATGCGGGCAAAAAATATAGGGGTGCCTATACCCTTCGCCCACAAATAAAGAGACTGAGCTTCTACCGACGAAAATGACTAAAGACGAGAAAAGGGAAGAACAAACTCTTACATTTCAAATAAAATGTAAAAACTAGAAATCAAAAGACTTACAACAATGACTCTTGCAAAATTTAACCGACTTACAAACTTTGACTCAATCACTTGACGACACCCTAAAGTTGCTGCACTTAGAGAAGAAGGATACAAGTGGAGTGGCACTTGCGGAGAGACGAAAGAGGTTAGAAGCCCGAGAAGAAAGGTTGGAAAGAGCCCGCAGGATTTCCAAAGCAAACCCACAAGTTATAGCTTTTCCAAAAATAACATATCATTCAACTTTTTAAAACAATACAATACCCCCATATATATAGGTATGAAAGGGGAAGACCAAAAGACACATAACATAAATTATCACAAGAACCTAAGCATTAAACTCAAATGCTTTTCACGGAAAAACAGCCCAAGCCAAGAAACCGAAGCAGCCACCGCGGGAGACAAGGAGGCCGCACGGAACCGAGGAGCCACAGCCATGGGAAAGAGCCCAGGCGTGGAAAACCAGCAGCCGGCCGGAGATCCAAGAGACAAGGCACGGAAAATGGTAGCCCAAGGGAGGAAGCCAAGGAGCCACCGTATGGGAAAAGACATTTCTTGGAATTCCAAAGGTCGGTTTGGAATTCAAAGAGACAATAATTAAAAACATAAAAAGTATAAAAATACATTTAATAAAAATATAACTATGAGCTAAAATCATAGCTAATAATGAGCTAACCCTTAGTTCAATAAGTGAACTAAAGACTAGTTCATAAATGAGCTAAAATTTCAGCTCAATTTTGATTGAGCTAGTAGACTCAAGGGAAGCCAAAAATCTAATTATTTTTGACATGAGTTGACCTCCTTTTTGTCTACATCATTTTGCCATTAGAGGCATTTTTTTATCTACATTTAAAACCAAATGACATCGTTACCGCATTATCCAATAAATAAATAAAAGTTGCATATGTCTTATGCCTTTAAACAACAGTCACAACTTATAGGGCGTGAAGGGGTTGGGGCTAGGCATGCTTAGATTGGAGTTTCTCTTAGAGTCTTATGAGGTTTGAGGGCTCTAAATCTTGCGTTTAGAGTTTGGGAGATAACAATCCTCCTCTCGAATAGAGGATCACTTGTATCTTTCTTTCTGTGTGTTTTGCTTTGCTTCTTTAGTGCAATCTACTGTTTGGGGTTGTTTTCGTCAAGATTTTGATTATTTTCTTGCTGTTTTCATCCAATTAGTGATAGTTTTGCTTGCGAACTCAAGTAGTATTCCCTTAGGGTTACTTGCAAACTCAAGTATTTCCTATCAAATTGGTATCAGAGCGAGTCTTGGGGCCGGTGGAGGGCTTTTTTCGGCAAATTCTAGCAGCAGTTTTTTTTCCCGGAAAAGGAGGAAGTTGATGTTTTTTGACTCCAAGATCCAGATTTTGTGAATCTACAAACTTCGGATTGTAATGACGACCAAGAAAGTTGATGCTTTGGAGGAGAGACTCGAATGAGAGATGAATCACATCAAAGAAACCGTGGAGGAAAGAATTTCTTGCATGGAAGGGTAGGTGGCTGATCTCAGGGATATGATGAAAAGAATGTTGGAACTTCAAGCACAAACAACGGCATTCGAAGTAAAGGGCCCCGAAGTGAAAAACACCAATTCTAAAATCGAAAAGGAGGAAGAAGAGGTAGAAATCATGGAAGGGGGAAGAAGAAGACCCTATGTGGAGCCTTTCCATAGGGACGAAAGAGGAGATCGACATGGGGAAAGGTATGGATATGGGGTAGCGGAGCAAGGAAGGACTGATTGGGAATGCCATGAGGTGTTTTACGGCCGTCGGGGTGCTAATTTTGAAGGGAGAAGTTGGGATTTTGAAGGGGGTTTGGGCTATGGCATGGCAAGAGAAGATCGGAAAACTTAGGGTGCACCTAGCACTTGGGAAAGGGGAAACTATGGAAGAATCCGAGGCAATGGGGGGATCAAAAGGTGAGGAAGTTGAAGATGCCCATATTCGAAGGAGAAGATGCGTATGGGTGGATTTACAAGATGTAGCGATACTTCGCCGTCAATAGGCTAACGGAAGTGGAGAAGCTAACTGTAGTCAGATTATGTTTGGAAGGAAAAGCCTCGTCGTGGTTTCAATGGAGAGACCAGAGGAGGCCGATCAGGAACTGGAGGGAATTTAAAGACAGCATAATAGAATGTTTTCAAACCGATCGGGAAAGAAACTTTTATGAGCAGTTCTTTGCTCTGACACATGAGGGATCAGTTGCAGATTACCGGGAGCAGTTTGAACACCTAGCTAGCAGGGTGGAGCGATTCTCAGAGACATTATTGGAGGAAAATTTCATGAAAGGGTTGAAGGCAGAGATCCGAGCAGCAGTAAAGGTCTTGATGCTCCGTGACTTAAGAGAAGCCATGAGGTTAGCCCAACTGGTGAAAAATCAAAAAAATTTGGAAAAGGGAGCCATGAGTAGCAGCACCGGGGGAACATACCGAATGACGACCACTCATCTCGCACCTAGAGGTCCTGCAATATGAGGTAGTAAAGAAGCCACTAAGGAGAAAACGGGGGGAGGAAATTTCAAACGGCTAACAGAGAAAGAAATGCAGGAGAAGAGGGCTAAGGAGTTGTGTTTCCGATGCGATGAAAAGTACACGCTAGGATATCGGTGCAAGGACCGAACTCTTCAGGTTCTCACCGTCTGCAATGACGAGAAAACTGAGGAGAGAGGTGAGGAGGTGATAGAAGAAGAAGAAGAGCTACACTTGGATTTGGCTGAGGTTTCCTGGGTTCAACATGAATCACACCATGAAAGTGAAGGGAGTGATAGGGGACCGGGAGGTTGTGGTGCTAATTGATAGTGGGGCTACCCACAATTTCATTTCCACCCAGGTCGTATACCAACTGGGAATAAGATTGGTGGACACAGGGTGCTACAGAGTGATGATGGGTATGGGGAAGATAGAGAAAAGTCAGGGGATTTGCAGGGAAGTATGATTGACGATCCAAGGAGGGAGGAATTCCTCCCACTAGAGCTGGGGAGCACAGACATCATACAAGGGATAAAATGGCTGCAAACTTTGGGTGACACCAAGGTGAATTGGGGAGCACTTACGATCGAGTTGATGGTGGACGGAAAGAAGGTAGTGATTAAGGGAGATGCGGGGCTTTCAAAATCCCTAATTTCTCGTAAAACGATGGTAAAAGATATCTAGTTGGCGGGCGGAGGGTATTTAGTGGAGTTGCATAGTTTGGAGGAAGCAAGATTGAAAGGAGGAAACATACCCCTCTCCATTCAACCATTGATTCAACAATTCCAAGAGGTATTTCAGCCACCTCATGGATTGCCACCGCAGAGGGAGCAGGAGCGTGCCATCGTATTGAAGGAGGGAGTGTCGCCCATCAGTGTCCAGCCTTATCGCTACCCTCAGTTTCAGAAGGATGAGATAGAAAGGTTGATTAGAGAAATGCTGGAGGAAGAGATCATCAAATCCAGCATCAGCCCTTTTTCTAGCCCTATTTTATTGGTGAAAAAGAAGGATGACAGCTGGCGTTTTTGCGTGGACTACAGAGCACTCAACAAGAAAATTATACCAGACAACTTTCCTATACCAATCATTGACGAGCTGCTAGATGAATTGAGTGGAATCGTGATCTTCAACAAGATAGACTTGAAATCAGGTTACCATCAGATCCGAATGAGGAAGGAGAATGCACAAACGTCCTTTAGAACTCATGAACGACATTATGAGTTCCTGGTGATGCTGTTTGGCCTTACCAATGCTCCAGCTACTTTCCAAGCCCTCATAAATAAGGTTTTCAAACCTTATCTCAGACGATTTATACTGGTTTTCTTTGACGACATCCTAGTCTACAGCAGGACAGAAGAGGAGCATTGGGAGCATTTGAAGAGGGTGTTAGAAGTACTGCAGGAGCACCAGCCGAGGGCTAATTTGAAGAAATGCTACTTTGTATAAGCCAGTGTAGAATACTTGGGTCATGTGATGTCAAAAGAGGGAGTGACTAACAAGATTTGTCCAATATTCATTGTCAACACATCGCACCAAACATTCTCTTTATAGGTGGCAAAGGAGATGGGTACGTGGCTTCGCTCTTTCCCCTCCAAGGCAGTGGAGTTGACCCATGCTACCTTATACAGGTTGGGGTGAGGAACTGCAGACAAACCTAACTGGGATACCATGCTGGAAGAAACAACATTTATGCAGCTACCGCTATCCATAATGACTTTGCAGTTCTTGTCTTTGATCTTAGTGTTGGTGTGGAAAATCGAGGTCCTACGCCAGTCATCCGTGGGTGTTTGGTGGGATAGCGCACATCTCACCACGCAGATGGGAGAG